AGAGAGAGAGAGAGAAGGCAGAGAGAGAGAGAAGACAGAGAGAGAGAGAGAGAAGGCAGAGAGAGAGAGAAGACAGAGAGAGAGAGAGAGAGAGAGAGAGAGAGATAGAGTGAAGACAGAGACGAAGAATTAGTTGAATACTTTCCCCTGAATCTCTTATTTCTAGGAATGCTTTTAAATGATAAACTCAATAAAATGAACATCAGTGTTTTTTAGAGCTCCACCTTTCATCCACTTCTGTGACGGAGAGATGCTCTCAGCTGAAGAGGCCTTTTGTTCCTCAGCAGCCAGCCGCCTCCAGAGAGGTGTGTGTGTGTGTGTGTGTTTAACAATCACTACTGTGAGCCCCCCCCCCCGCCATCTCCGTACTCACATGACTGCTCTCGTCAGCCTCCTACCAGGTCACATGACCTCCAGTCCTCCAGACCCCTCCAGGACCAACTGCTGACACAGCTGATCGTTAGGGAGACGCTCAGATTGCTTCATCCAAATGTCTATATTGGATAACGCTGCAGAGATAAAAAAGTTTATTATTACATTACTGCAGATATGCATCCATCCCTGAACTCTGGCAGCACAAACACTCACATGAATGGACAAATTATTATCTGTAGATTATATTAAGAGCACAACATTGTGAACCAATACCTTGTATTACAGCACAATAATAAAGCAGCTACAAACATTTATTAACAACAAATGACATGAAAGATGTCGGCTCCACAGAAAGTTTTAGCATCTTTCAGCTCGTTGTTTTGGTTTTCTGGCCCATAATTTTACTGGTTTGGTTCACTCTCACAGCGTTGAAACTGTTTCCTGCAACAACAACAAAAATAACCTCTTGTGTATCACTAGGGACATTTTGGGCTTTTTCCGTTTTCATTTTTCAATAATTTTGTGTGACTAAATGCCTATTTTTAAATATAATTTTGTAAGTTCAACCTCAGCTCCTATTATCTAGTCTATAATAAACTGTGTAGCCAGAATACAGACACTCAGACCCTGAAGGACAAAAATGTACCATTAAAACCACAATGTTTGATCCCATTATATCATAAAGATAAAACATGTTATTCTCCTGGTGTCCACTAGAGGCATCACTGCTGTATTATAGAGATAATACATGT